GACGGCGTCAGCGTGGAGGTGACGCTGGCCAAACCGGCTGGGATCAAAGACGGGAGCGTAGCCGGGAGGAGGTACAACAACAGGGGATACCTGGGAAACAACGCAGCAGGAGGAGCCAACGGGACGTTTCTGCTGCACAGGAACGACGGAGGCGTAATGGGAGGAGCTGTGGACGGATGCTCTCCACTGAGAACACTGTCCACACGCCTGGGGAGCCCCTTCTACAGCGGAGGTGAGGATTGCTGATTGATCGTCATTTATTAGGATGATCAGCATTATTGTACATCAGCTCTTTTATCAGTTTAACAATCCCACAATGCAGCGCTCCACATTGTACAGACGGTAAGTGATTGTAAGAAGGTTGTTTCTACATAAATTAGGGTCGGGTCGGTTTCTGGTTCGGTGTGTGAACTTAATCTGGCAATCCGTGTTTTCATTGTTGTAAGAAGAATGACCAAAGTTAGAATAAAATGAGTTGTTAAAAATAGCTTTTATTGTGAAACGTTTGCAGAAACGGGCTGTGGAACGTTTTCTGTTGAGAGGCCGGTGCAACATCTGGTTTAATATCTAACTAATTACATAATTAAAAACACAAACAATAACACATAATTAATGAAAGTAATCAGTTGCAGTTCTAGTTAAGAGTCCTTACTGTAAATGATATTAAATATCTTTGTACCTGCGCAGTAACATCGACTGTTCGATCTACATTCAGCTCACAAAAGATTCCACGTGAAGATAAATTCATTTTGACTTTGGGGAAACTTTTCCACGGTATGAAAAGAGAGAGCACTTTCCAGCCAGTTTAAAACGCTCATGTGCAGCAGCTTCTGAAAGATGGGTGGATATGAATCATTAATCATCATCATCTTCACATGGAGCAGAAGGATCATTTCCATTAGATAGGACTGTGCAGCCTGAAGCCGCTCAATGATTATACTTTTTATACAGTAACATCAATTCTTTCTGCTCTGTTTTTCTTCTCCTCACTTCTTCATGATCAAATATCACAAAGGGTTTCGATCAATACGGGCTCTCATTCATAAAACCTTTATTTCTCTTAGAATACCAAGATAAACATCTCCAATCTCATATCACAGTAACTTATATCGTCCAGTTCTACTTGTGCCGAGGGGTTTCTCTACGAGCCCAGACATTTTTCTGCCTCTGCAAGGTTTCTCCCAAAACTGCCCAAAATAATGTTCACAGCTGTAACAGGAACGTTTCTTTAGAGCCGAACTATCCAAACAATCGATATCACTTTCTCTGTTTTATTCAATACAACGAGTTTTCAGTTTCCATCTAGAGCAGATTTTGACTTTGACCTGATCCATTACGAACCGCATTCATCAAGTCTTACTCGTATATTGACGCAGCTGCGATAATAATCTGGTGATGAAGCAAAACTCCGGTTTCCTGACGCCTGCAGACATTTTCTGAAAATGAGAAAAGTTTTACAGTTAACTCTCCTACAAATGGACTGTAAAATATTTATGAGAGGAGAGATGTCCTACTACAAAAGAGTGATGGAGGGAGAAGTATATGGGTATATTTGTGGAGGGAAACGAGAGAGAGAGAGAGAGACTCATGGGAAGAGGAATTAAAGATTCACTTTGGGAGCTCAATACATAGTCGAGAAAGAGATTCAGATGGGGAGAGCTGGACAGAGGCAGGAGAGGGTGGAGAAAAGGAACCAACGGCAGAAAAGACTGAATGCAGAAAGATTGATGGCATGAAAGAGGAAAAAGATTTACAGAGACAGATAAATGGAGGGAGAAATGATTTAAAGAGAGAAGCTATTTCTGTCCAGCAGCTGAAGGACTTTAAGGCTGCCTGATGTTCAGTTACACATAAAGCTCAATAATGACCGTGATTAACAGTATCTGAGCTGTTATCTTGATCATTAAATGAATCATTCAGCCTATAAAATGTCAGAAAAGGGGAGAAAATGCAGCGATTCCAAAAATCCATGAAGATTTTCTCTTTTAACTGTTTTAAATTCCAACCAAGAGACAAACTAAGCAGAATATTCAAGTGTAAAAATCGATTTCTGGTGGATACATTTCTAAATCACATGAAACACAGTTCGTATTTACACTTTTTGCTACCTGTTGACACACAGGTATTAATATATCAACATTATGAGCTTACTGCAGGTATATCCGTGTCGCTCTGCTTCAAACTGTTTGTCCAAATTATTACATTTACTGTTTTGAAAAAAGAAAACCAGCAAATATTGACATTTGAGAAGCTGGAACCGGTAAATTTTTGTCTTTTTTCCCCTGAAATATAACTTGATTGATGATACTGATTAACATACAACTTATATTGTCGCTGATTAATGTTTTGTCACTAATTTGACTAATTGATTCTTCCTATGTCGAAAACAGAACCAGAGGTAGGTTAAAGGATGAACGCGTCATCTTAAATTAGCTCACTAATGTTTTGCAAAATGCTGAACTTCATTTAACTAATTCAATACATAATAATGTAAAAATAAAT